TTCAGAGTTATAAATATTTATTTTTCTCCAGAAATTGACCCTCAAATCCCATTCGGGCTTTAACCCTTTCCGGACCGCGCACTTTTTGCGCTCACGGCCGCATGCTGCGCGGCAAGCATAAATATCATATATTTAATCTGTATTCCCACTAAAGCCATTATTTTGTCTCGTTTATGTCTTTGTCATGTCTCGAAGAATATATAAGATTAATTTGACAGAAAACTGTTTTGCAAAAAAAAGGGAAAGGGCCATAAAAAGGGAGGAAGGGACGAAAATTGTTCAAAATAAGTTGGTATGGAGAAAAAGGGAGTAGAACGTGCCCAAAACGATTGGATCCATAAGAATCAGATACGACGAGCAGGATATTTCACAAATTCTTCGTTTTTAAGTGTTTTCAAGCGAACTACAACTGTTTTCTTTGAGCCCAAAGTGGAAGTCCATTTACTCTTTGGTTATTTTAGAACCTAGATTAAACCTAAAGTCTAGGTTTTTTCATACATATGGCATGAGTCTGTTACATAGGTATGTAACAACATAAAATATTTTATCGAAAAACCAAACTCTTGGAAAAATCAGCTCTTGAAGTTCCTGACACACCATGTGTGTCAGGCGGTCCGGAAAGGGTTAAAACAGGGGTGATGGTGCAGTTGCAATTAGGACTGAGACCAGCAAGGAGGAGAAACGTCGGAGAACACAAACTGTTCACGTGCTCCCTCAGGAACCCTTCCTCTACGTAGGGCTCAGTTCCAAGCACTGTCATTGACTCACTCTTGGATGCTCAAGCACATCACATAAATACATCAAATATGCCTGCACAAGGAGGCTACCTTACCTTGTAGGCAATATTTCTCGAAGTACTCTCCACTTGAAATCGGCTTCAAATTGAACGAATTGCCGCGCCTGCCCGTGTACCTGGAAGAACTTGAGACTTCTCTACAAATGCATACACGACTTTTGGCAGCGTATCAACACAAAATACGCAATGGCGAAAGAACCAGTAGTCAGGGTGAATTCATTTGTAGGAGTGAAGCAGTTTGAATTTGTTTCCTCTAACGCCGATGCCTTTGTCCTCAACGGGAAGCGTTATACCTTCGTCAATGGACGCAGAGTGGAGAAAAAAGAGATTGAGTAGTGAAGATCTGTGATGAACACCTACCCAGTTTTCAGCTGTAAATGGGTCCACTCTATCCGTTAACGGCATTGGTAGACGAAACGCCATGCATGGGCGAATCTTCGAATTCGTTATGAGATTTTGCCTAAAGATAAAAAAACTGGCATGTTGCAGGCAGTTTTTCGCTACGAAGAAGAACCGAGAACCTCAACTGCCTTGCACTTCTTTCAATGCTCATGCTCTCGATGATGACGTCTTTCTCGTGATTTATGTAGTACTCTTCCGTTCGAATCCAGTGCAGTTGTCCGTTGAAACAGTGCACTGAAAGTCCAAAGCACTTCACTATCTTCTCGCTTAAAGCTATGAAACACCTTCATCGAAAAATTTATGCCCAAGTAGCTGTATTAGCGTCAGCGCAGGTGTATACTTTCACGTTCTCTCCTCCGCGACAGTGTCCAACGCAGGCCACTCCAGCCGCTGCTCCGTTGGCTGGAGAGAGTGAGGGTTGAGGGTTTAAACAGTAGTGCGTATGGGACGCTAAGGCTGCTGTCACACTTTGCGAAGAATAGATGCGCAGGCGGTTCGAACGGTGCACATGCGATTCCAAAGTATAAGAAAGTGTGAGGAGTCAACATGCAAGGAGTGGAGCCCCATCATTTTCTTACACTTTTGAATGTAGATTTTTATTCGTCATAAGGTGTTGGCGCTATTTTCCGCCTTCGAATCGCTTGATTGGCGCAATACTGCTTGTTTTCCAACGTGACCATGTCCTCAGAATACGTTATAGAGTCGGGATCTGTGCGTATTCGCTATCTGCAGCCACCGTAGGTACAGTGTGAAATAGAGTCTCGTAATCTCGGCGAATGTTGAAGAATGATTGGGACACATTGTGTTCAATTCCATTGTTTGATGACTAGTTTGTTTAGGATTTGTTTTGCCTCTGTAACTTGGTCGATGGGTACGATTTCTAATTTTAATGAATTATATGTTTTTCGTGGTATTATGCGCGTTTTAGGGAGGCTTGCTGACAAGGGCATAGCCTACAAGTCCCGATAAATAGCTTACAATTCATTTTGCGTTTGAACTCAGTGATAGTGAATTTAAGAACGAAGGATCGGTTATTGTAATTGTCGATAACGACTAAAATTGATTCTTGGGAGTTAGAGTGCTGGTAAACAGTTTAAAATTGCCCAGTTATTTTGATGGTGGTTCATACTGCGATTTCTTCAATTCTCTATTGGATTGAGGTAATACTCGAGAATAGACGACAATTTGATGTGTCGGGATCTGATGAATGTGTTATTATTCATATGTGGTTTATCCTCACCATCCTGGCAATTGTTTTCAAAATAGTCGACCAGCTGGTCCTGCACGCCATCGATGAACAGCTCTGGCCAGTCACTGCGTCGCTCACGGTTTATGATGCATTCGCCGGTCTCGTAGAAGAACATCGCTGATCGACATTGTGTGTGAAGTGAAGCAGGAGGCTGTCAGACACTTTGACAAGCATTCCGACAGTCCAGCAGCGAGAATTACCTTCAATGAATGGGATGATAGAGTATTGTTTTCTTTTCGTATTGTTATCTATTGAAATGAACAACGGCTTTCAGAGGCTACACAGCCCCGTTTGGAGCCGTAGAGCATGAGAGTGCGCACGAGATTTTCGGGTACTATCCAGGAGACCCATCGCGCGGCAAGTACAGTCCAAATCTCGAAGTCTGATTGGGCGTGTCACCGGAAATGACGTGGCAGCCACCGCACTTGATAGAAGTTGCGCGGATAAGCTGCTTCCAACACGCTTTGCTGATATCTGGCGGAGTATTTATCCACACATCTATCAAGTGCGGTGGCTGCCACGTCATTTCCGGTGACACGCCCAATCAGAGTTCGAGATATCGACTGTAGGTCGACGGGCCTTCTGGGGGGTACCCGAGATTTTACACCAATATTTTGAAAAAAAAACTAGTCACTCGGCTAAAAATAACAACAGGGCGAAGTGATGGCAGTGACAGAAGAAAAAAGCAAAACATCGGAAATGGAAAATAAAAGAGCGCGCACTATTATGTACATTGCTTTTTGTTGAAATAATTTTAACTCAAAAAATGTTTAAAGTGGCACGAATTTCTGGGACAACTTAATCTATGCCGTTATCAGGGAAGAAACACTTGGAGCGCAACTGATCACGCCCATCAGTTGTAACATTGTATGGTTTTCCAATTGAAAAGGTATGCAGGTCCAGCTCAGAAAACTCGAAGAAAAATACCTTCATGGCGTGACCGATGAGCAGGCTTTGTGGATATCGTTCAAATCCGTACGGTGTTGAACAAAGTGCATCACCTGAAAAACATTTCGGATCAAAAGGACTACCAAATATTGGAAGTACCGCATCCATTCATAAGTCGTTGGTATACTAATAAGTAGAGCGGTAGACCGGGCGCATATGTAGTTCGGGGGCTAAATTTCAGAGCTCAGATCCGACCCTCTTCGGAACAGCATGACATCCTCAGTAATAGAGTTTAGTTACCTGCTATCCGAATGGTCTGAATAGACAAGAAAAAATTGTATGGTTCACGTAATTCATTGTGAGGAACGATTCGTAAGTTTTATAGACAATTTGCGTGGAAAGTTTAAGTTCACAGCTCTCACCAGGCGCAGTTGGCATCTTCTTTTCGAACAAAGGAATTTCTCGTGATCTTCACCTTACCTTGTACGCACATCTGCTGAAAGAATGCGATCGGTCCGTCTGTCTTTGTCAGGACGCTGGCACCGAATGGCTGACCGTCCTCCGAATGAATAGAGCACTCCTGAGACCGCGCGTCGTATTCGAACGATGAGCACTCATGGCCCTGTGAAGAATAATATGTAAGCGTTTAAGGGTGGGCGGAAGTGGTGTAGTGGCAAGTGGCACGCTTACCACGCGAGCGGTCCGGGGATCAAATCCTGGGTCGTGAGTCGCCCGGGCCAACCAAGCCTTCCATCCCTCCGGGGTCGGTTAATTGGTACCAGACTTGTCTGGGAGGATAAAAACACTGACTTGTACATCGGCTGGCCCCCGCAAGTCATTGTATAGGCCACATCGCATTCAAACGCCACTACGAATGTACAAATGGAAGTAGAATGCGTGCCGCATCCCAAAAAGGGATTGATCAACGGCAAATGCTTTATCCTTTTTAATATTGGGGCGCCGATTTTTCACCTTAACCATCTTGTTCTGCATTGTAATGAGATGTTGTGGAGCGTAAAGAAAGACTGGGTGTCAGCAAGTCTACGATGCGGTGGCACGACGATTTTTAGCTGACTACCGCAGTTTACCGTAGCGCTCTCGCTTCAGCTCAACTATGTAAGTAGGGCACAGGCAACACGATTACTTCACAAACCGTACTTCGAAAAAACTTGTAACCACTAAATTATCCGCCTTTCGTGTGACAGCACCAGAGATATTAGGAGCGACTCATGATTTTGCTGAGAACGAAAATAAAAGTTAGAGAATGTGAAAAGGGGAGTACAGTCTATGGAACTTCTTGACGTGGGTTTCAACCAGCAGTGGGGCGGTGCTTTACTGGACACGGTACCTTCTTTTCCAAATTGCCCCACAAGTAGGATTTCCTGACTTATATTGTATCATTTCGTATGCGCTCCCCCGAACACTTTCGAAACGAAGTACTATAGCAATAATCAGTGCGAATATTATTGTTGTAATCGTCGACGTCAATGGTGATTTATATGGAATTGATGACTAGTTAGGTCATGAAAAACATCACTAGGGCTGCGCTAGCAACTCCTGCCGACTTCCACAGAAGTGTATGATAAGAATCATAAATTCATCATATTCTGCCACGTAGTAACGAATTGCCAACACTGCCACCATTTTTGAGATCTCTTTCCCGGAGGCACGCGCCGGGATAAGACGTGCTCATCTGTTCCACCCCGCGCGGTAGACAGGCGGACAAGCGTTGATGTCGCGCCCCTTTTGCGGCTTGAAAGTGCGCGACAAAGGCGCTAGAGCTCGTCCAACCCGCAATCCACTCCTTCGTCCGCAAGCCCTGCCTTCCGCTGTCGGTGTGTTGAAAAACGTGGGAGCAGTTGCAGTAGCGATTGCATTGCAGTTCAATTTCCTTGGCACAGCAGCAAGTGGAGCTAAGATAGTGAAAACCGTCCAACACCCCTTTCTCTATCCAAAGGTGAAGTAGGCTGAAAGAGAAGGGGACTTCGTTAGGGTTTTTTTTTGCTTTCTTCTTCTTTTCCAGATCATTCCCCACCCCTAGCTTCATTAGTGAACACTCTTCCACACCTATTTTATCCAGATGCTTATCTTTAAATTGAGAAGAATCAAAAGACCAACCTCAGCTTTAGTAGTGCATGCGTTGGCGCACATGTTCAGTGTGACATTTTTGATGCTGTGAATGGCGAACTCCATCAGGCGTGTGCCTTCCGATCGCAAGTACGTCGTTGCATTCGCACCCACACAAATCGTGCCTGAATTACGGAGAGTTACACATAGTTTACTATCACAATAAATATTGCTCAAAGGCTTGAAAGAAGGATGTTGATACATCATTTCTATCATCATCTGTCGCCATTCCAACTCCGAATTTGATTATGTTTTTGGCAGATAAGCAAGCATGGTGAAATGCTAGCGATTTTTCCCAGCAGCTGCCTAATTCCCCATTGGGGTATGGCCGCACATGTGTCCATTCTTAGTTCTGCAGGTAAATTCCAAAGCTACATGCTTGAGTTTTCCAAGGAAAACATCACTCACTGGACAAAAACGAGTAGGACGCAATTGACATTTGTAACAAAACACATCTTTCGCCGAGGAAGTTGACATGAAGGTGGCACGTTTGGTGACAGGTTTTCAGGGGTGATCACAGTTATATTCATAGTTTGGATAAGCTCTAAGCAGAGAGGTTTCAAAACTGCGTATCCGAAACAAAGTGCCTATGAGGTGCCAAGGATGCCTGCTCATAGTGAGATCAGCAGCAGTACATCTCTGAAGGCACACTCCGCAATTGGGTAAGTGAAAATTTACGAATATAGGATATACGAATATAAAGGACCAAGGGTCGTAGACGATGCTTTCCTACGGCCTACCCATCTCCAACAGCAGGAACCACAATGCGGGTCCACATGTCGTTTATTTCACAAATTTGTTAGATGTGGGAAAGTTACCGATTTCGTTCGTAAATACTTCAACAAGCAGCCAGATCTGGAAATCAAAGTCAGCAGGGTCAAAGTTTACCACTCGATGCCAACACTCAGTTGCCATTTCCCTCCTCCGAGAAGAACTAAAACAGCGGTACTGCCTTGTTGCTCTCGTCATGCCTCTCAATTTTTTCCGTGCACGATGTCTGGACATGACCAATATCGCAATGATCAGACAGGAAAGGGTCAGATCAGTGGGAAACTTGAAGGAGCAAAAACCAACCATGCTCATCCAGCTCCGTCTCAGTCGCCTTGCCCTTCGTCGTGAAACATACCGGCTTCTCCCGGTCCATATTATGACTAAAGTTCTGGTATACAGGAAAAATTCCTGGAACCTAGCCACGCTTAGAAGCTCCTAAGCCACCTCTAGCGCTTCATGAATGGAAAAATCAAGATGAGAAATGACCGATTACTTAAATGCGGCACTCAACCTATAATTATATCCGGGCTCCTTTCCTTTTGTCAAACTGAAGAAATCCACAAAAGCCAGTCACGGCACGGGGCCAGGCTTGGGCCCACGTTAGAGTTTGAGGTTTTTCTGAATGCCAATCAAGTCCAGTCACAGCGTCAATCGAAAGCGGCCGTCAAGATCCACTACAACCGCACAAGGCAACGTTATACAGGATGAGCCGAAGAAGGAGCAGAGTCCAACGTATGTTGCGGAACACGCAGTAAGGGGGTCGCATTCGGTCCGACGGCAGGGGAGGTGTGCTGAGAATGCAGTGTACAGAGGAGCGGCAGTTTGTCGAGGAGGACCATCCGTAGTTGTTGGCTGCTGTGCAGTCCTAATACGATTAGTAGCACAAAAGTTGAGTAAGTGTTGCCTGATAGGTCCTGCATAGACATGCCCCTTATAAATTGGTCCACCATTCAGAACTGGTGTTGAGTGGCTAGTGCATCTCTGAACGAAATCGATCAGCGCTTGTTATTCCCGTTTCAGTGCGAGATGACTGTAAGTTACAGGGATATCGAAAAGAAATCTAAGGCTTGAGGCGAGAACAACCTTATGCGTTACCCTTACGAGCATGCATTGTTCTGCATGGAACTTTTAAAAAAAATCACACATGATGAAGAGAGCCAGAATTTCAAGTTATCTGTTCAGTTTTCCACATCAATGAAGGTGAATTAATATTGTTCAGAATAAGTCAACTCAAACAGAAAAGGTTCTTCGCGATACTCGGGCAAAAATTCGCCGATGGGCCTGTTTTATAATAAATGTACTCAACGTTCAACAGGGGGTCATGACTATTGGTGACAAAGATTGAGCCAGCAAATTGCGTTTGACTGCAACAATTACAGAGGTCGATTACTGGACCCGTAGTTCCCCTACCATATATATATATTATATAATATATATATATATATATATATATATATATATATATATATATATATATATATATATATATATATATATATATATATATATATATATATATATATATATATATATATATATATATATATATATATATATATATATATATATATATATATATATATATATATATATATATATATATATATATATATATATATATATATATATATATATATATATATATATATATATATATATATATATATATATATATATATATATATATATATATATATATATATATATATATATATATATATATATATATATATATATATATATATATATATATATATATATATATATATATATATATATATATATATATATATATATATATATATATATATATATATATATATATATATATATATATATATATATAATACAGTAGTGGCCAGAAATTTATGAACAAACGGTTTTTTCATGATTTCTCTTTTGAAAGTCACTGGAACGTCTCCAAATTTGCAACAATTATTAACTACGTGTTTTATGATCCACACAGAAAATTTCAACCTTCAGCTCAAATTTGGGTTTAAAAATTTTAGATTTTTCGAAATTAATGAAGGCAGGTGAAAGATCACTTGATCCGTTTATTTGATTTAAATAATGTATAACCCAACAGAACAGTCAAGTAAGCATACACTAACATTAAGCAAGTCTAGCACATTGCTCAGAACTCTCTAAAGTATTGGATAGATAAACTGGGTTTAAGTGGGGGTCAATCAATGAACTCGCCTTCTAGTGGGGGTCTCCCTCTCTGTAGGCGCTTATTTTCGTGACTCTTTCATTGACATGCGACTTTGTAGGTCCTCCCTAGTGGTTCTGTAATGTTTGGCTCAAGAGTCTGGCCTGGCTGGTCTTTTAAAAGCACCCCATGCTGTCGAAACCACTCCTGCATGTGAGAGGCCCGATGCTTTGAGTCGCTGCTCTGCTGACAGACAAAGCCAGGTCGTGTGGCAGCCATGTCTACGGATACATAACATCTTCTAGAATCTAAGTCTATACTACGTATTCCTTAGTTCTCAAAGTCTAAGAAGAGCGCTCGCTGTGAAGTGGGTGGGAGTAGAATGTGATTGACTAAGCCTGAAACGAAGGTTGATACAGGTTTCTAAGGTCATCTGGAATGACAAAAACATATTACTGATGCATGACAGCAAGGATACTAGTAATGTACGGCACCACGAGAGGGAACGTTTTGATCCAAAGAATCAGCTGCCAATTGTGAAACTTGGCGGAGGCTTGATAAGGTTGCCTTGGAAAAAAGTGGGACCACGCTACACGACTGAGGTAGCGATGAAGGCAGACGTTTGCTGTCATGTTTTGGAAGGTGTCATGTATCCGTAGACATGGCTGCCACACGACCTGGCTTTGTCTGTCAGCAGAGCAGCGACTCAAAGCATCGGGCCTCTCACATGCAGGAGTGGTTTCGACAGCATGGGGTGCTTTTAAAAGACCAGCCAGGCCAGACTCTTGAGCCAAACATTACAGAACCACTAGGGGAGGACTACAAAGTCGCATGTCAATGAAAGAGTCACGAAAATAAGCGCCTACAGAGAGAGACCCCACTAGAGAGGCGAGTTCATTAATTGACCCCCCACTTAAACCCAGTTTATGTATCCAATACTTTAGAGAGTTCTGGGCAATGTGCTAGACTTGCTTAATGTTAGTGACTGTTTACTTGACTGTTCTGTTGGGTTATACATTATTTAAATCAAATAAACGGATCAAGTGATCTTTCACCTGCCTTCATTAATTTCGAAAAATCTAAAATTTTCTAAACCCAAATTTGAGCTGAAGGTTGAAATTTTCTGTGTAGATCACAAAACACGTAGTTAATAATTGTTGCAAATTTGGAGACGTTCCAGTGACTTTCAAAAGAGAAATCATGAAAAAACCGTTTGTTCATAAATTTCTGGCCACTACTGTATATATGTATGGTTGCATGGCTCGGTGATCGTTGCTTGGTGGGTGGCCCCAGTTATGAAACTGATAGATTTCTAGTTTCACGCGCTGTCAGGTGGATTCTTTCGAAGGCCTGGCCCGCATACAGCAGCCATCCGCCAGACTGTCGCAGCGAACTTCTCCTGTTGCAGTACACGTATGGTCTTTCTTACAAAGGTGATTCAGGTACGAATCCAAAAAGGTGGCTGTGAATATTGTCAAAGAGCGTGTCCAACACGATATGGTGATGACCATGATCAAATTGGCTACAAGCTCGACATTAATAGGATAAATGATGCAGGATCTCTGCAAAGGAAGCACGGATTATATGCTTATAAGTACCATAAACGACAACGATACTCATACAGTGAACTGAAAGGGCGCGGGCTGCGAAGCTAGTCCGTGTGTACACCATCGATATTTCTCATGGACGATATGTCTTCCGTTCATGAAAAGCAGGAAGTTATATAAAAATCACTAGGAGAGCTAAGCAGGACAACACAAATCAAGAGCTTCTAATTTAGCAATGAGCCGAGCCTGAGCCACCGCGATTCCTTTATCCCATGGCCAATCGGTTTTTGCCGAGTAAAATCTCATGTTGGATGCTACTCTAGGTTTCACATGGGAGAAAGCTCCCGTCACCTCTACTAACAACGATTTTATTCACTAGCAAGACGGTATGTCTCGGTCACTGCTGCAAATTTGTGAGAGCTTCTGCAGAGCCACTTTTCAACTTGGATACCGTGATTGGCTCTGCCACCGACAAAATTACCGACCTAAGTAGAGCGGATTATTAATTGTGGTCGATATTGAGGCTGAAGAAGTGTGCGAAGCAACACAGCCTGATTGGGTCGCTAACAGCTGCTTTTGAGGAAGTATGGGATGAAGTCTTCAAGGATGTCATGCGGGCGAAGGTCTATTTTGATACGATTCGTCTGCAGGAAATTGCCGGCTTCACAGGGATCAATTTGGGAAAACGATAACTAGCATTCGTCCGAAATGATATGGTCATACGTTGCTGTACTTGGTAGTGCCGAGTTTCAAGCTTTGCTGTTGTCAAACGTGGGGCCACAAATTACTTGGTCACCAATGCCCGTGACATGATGACATGGTGTTTATGCCTCACCCTGTTATGCACTTTGGCAGAGCATTGAAATAGGAATGCCTCTAATTTATAGCGCACATTCCATTTACGCGAGTGGTCGCACTTGAAGAACCGTCCTCTTGAAGGGGTGTTGTAGGATAGTCACCGCCACATGGGAAGGGTTACATTCGATGTAGGCTGGCTGGTGTCACCTAAAACATTTTGCTTGCCCCATGACCGCTTTGCTGTCACCAGTACCAGGAAACAAAATCGAGAAGCTGTTAGGCGCAGTGCTGGCTTTTTCAATCAATCCGCTGAGAAGGATCGTTCCAAGATGCCTGGGTGTTGGCATTGATGTGCGGTGACCCTTGCAATCAACAGCGCGACCTTCAGTGCTTGTTGCTTGTCAAGTATTCCCCCGTACAAAATTGAGGTCGAATAGCATGGACTCCCATTGACCTAACCCAAGGCTGGAGTTTAGTTGTGTGCAGAGCAATTCTGAAAATTTGCTTCCTGAGTATGTGCTTTTCACTCCGTGATGCTCGGAAAAGTATTAATCCGAATGGGAAGCATTTCTAGAAAGATCTCTGAATGAGAAAGTCGTTTTCCACGTTTATCAAGTGTTCTTCGCGACCTCTTTGGTTCTTCAAGAGACCATTTGGAGCGGAAACTGACGACCAATGTCGCCGAAAACCCTTCCCACTGGGCAACACATTTTGTTTCAAAAAGGTGGAGGTGAATTTTTCGCAAAAAACAGGAATTCAGTGCATCGATCTGTAGACTTTCGGTTTCCTTGCAGTGTTCTTACAAGAAAATAGCGCAACAAGGTTAATGAAATTCATGCGCAGTGAAAAGAAGAGGGTTAAATGGGCCTCTAATTCATGCTAATGAAGCCCCGTAGAACTTGTCTGTCAATCAAGGTCACTGTTCCAATTTATGTGTTCACCACATAATTCAACAAGAACAAGTAAATGAGCTCGTACATACTTGCTTTCACTTGATCGCTTGCAATTTTTCACTGCATCTCGCTCTGCGAGTATATCCATCAGAGGAATCCTTCTATTTTATAAAGCGCTAACTTTGTGTGTCGGTTTGTATGTCTGTATGTGTGTATGTATGTATGTATGTGTGTCCGTCCGTCGCAAAATGAAGTGAGTGAGAAGGAAGCTCATGGGATAAACAAACCGCTAACAAATCGGGTAGCTTACAGGATTTGAGATATCAATGTTTTGTAGCAGGATAGTTGTGATAACACTCTTAGGGCTATATAAACACCTGCTTAGCACACTTCCGTTCATTCCACATGGTGCTGCAGTGGCAGCTGGAGGGCAGTGGAGAGAGGAAGGGAGGATGAGGAAGGGAAGCGAAAAATCTACCGTCATATCATGATTGTGTCCCTTCTACTGTATGAAACACCATTGTGTTGCATACGCGTCACTTCCAGGAGGTGTTGGTGTCACAGGAGGAAGGGACCATAGCGGAGGATAGAAAGCTTGCGCAGGAAAGGAAGGTCCCGGCGGTTGACGGGGGACTAATCTGGTAATATATATTTACCTAAGAATAAGTTCGCCCTCAACCTTGCACTCATGCATCTCCTTACCGGGCACGTAGTGGAGGAGACTCACAGTGAAAATGCTTCGAGTATGCCATTTTATCGCACAACTACGTATGGGGCACTGAATAATTCTCGAAGGTACCGCAGCACGAAACTGCCTCACGCAGCGCATGCGTAAGGCAGTTTCGTGCCAAGCAGAGCGATATTCGTGTTCAGCGCGTCGAAACACCCCTTTCAACAACATTTGGTCCAAATCTAAAATTTTGACTTGAAGTCGAAAATGTGGGCAGTCATCTATCCATCAACCCACTGTCAGAGCCTGATCGTGGGATTGAATTAAACTTTCAGTCATTATTGTGAAAGAGATATAGTTGCCTGCTCTACTTGCTCGTGCCATCCGAAGATTAATATGATATTTTTTCATGTACACGCTCGCTACCCAGGAGGAGCAGGAGGCAGGGTCAACTCTATGTTGCTACAAGTAGCAACGGGGGGTCGTACTTGGATGGACCCAGGGGGGGGGTCGTACTCTCTCGGTGGCCGGCAGTGGGATTTGTGGTAATCTCCCTACTGATCATAACCATGTTTCAGGAAGAGCATGAGAAAGGAAGACTTGCAGAAACAGCAGCTGCAAGACATGTAGCATCGTTCAAAAAAGTGCTCCCACCATGACATGGGTCCACCCACGAAACCACATTTGAAACTAAAGTGTAGCTGGAGTATTGCCTAAGACAACATGGACAATAGTCACCACATTACGTTTACGCAAGATAATTGATGCTAGAGCATCTGTAAGCCGCTTCCTTCTGAATGAGCTTTCAAATGAATCAGCGAATCAGAAGTGCGACCGAGGCGTGGCGCACACCAAGGCAGGGGGATATCAGTGCAAGCGCATGCACAAAGCATTCTAACACATCCTATGGTCAGCACGATATCTTTTCCCTGGAGGTTGCGGCCAGTGAAACCTAAAAAAACCGCTTTCTTAAGAGAATGGCTTGGAGAATGCCCCTCAAAAAAATGTAGCAACGGGACTAATTTTTGAATTACTGACTTTTAAGAAACGTTTGGGTACTTTTTAGAAAGCTTGAATCCTGTAGTTTCTCATACCGTGTTCAGCTTCCCAAATAAATGAGTTTGAAGGAAGTTATGATCGTTTGAAGGTTGAAAAAGTCGCGGTTCCAGAAAAATAGTAACGCAAACCCCCCAAAAAGTAACAACGGGACTAATTTTTGAACTACTGATTTTCAGGAACGCTTGGGTGCTCTTTAGAAAGCTTGAATCCTGTAGTTTATTATACCGTGTTCAGCTTCCCAAATGAATGACTTTGAAGGAAGTTATGATCGTTTAAAGGTTGAAAAAGTCGCATTTGCACAGAAAAAAGTAACAACGTGCTAAATTTTTACTAAATTAGCTTTCGAAGAATTTTCAGATATGATTGGAGAGAGAATGATTTGAATTTTTTAAATCAAATAACTCCGGCGCAAAAGCTCGAATATGAAGAAAGTTATAGCCCTAAAAAGAGGAAGGTGAAAATTGTAGTGCAAACTCATTTCCTTGCTCAATAACTTAATTATTTCAGATTGTTTAAGAACAAATCCGCTCTACTTGAGAAGGATGACCCTCGGTGATCCAAAATCCACCTCCGTCTTGCGAGGAACCTGAAATTTTCCAAGGAAAAGTTCCTATACTTCTCGATTTCCCATTTCGACACCTGCTCCCATTCAACAAACGCGCCCCATTGCAGCACCCAGCGCGCGATTCAATACATTCGAAACCTGTCAACACGCGTTTCCACTACCTTCTCGGCATTCTCAATCATTTCCCCCACTTCTCCATAATATGACGCCACAACCCACCCGTTTTCTCCAGCGGAGAATGCTTAATGACGTACTCTGAATCTCCTATGAAAACTCACCAGTAGGATTTTGGGCACAATGTGGCTGGGGGGGGGACACTCTGTAGAAACGTCTCTGGGACTAAGCCTGCGCATTTTGTTTAGTCCTGATCTCGTGAAGGATGTACTTCACTTTGATTAGTCCTGATCTCGTGAAGTTTGAAATGTTCTATTATTTTATACTTTTCCAGGGTGAAAAGAAACCTCATTATAGAGATAAAAGGAATAAAAAATTGGTATGAATTGTGTCTTCATAAAAATTAGACACAGGGGGGTCGTACCAAATCGCCCATGGAGGGGGGGGTCGTAAAAAAATCCAGAATGTAGCAACGATAGGACCGACCCTGGCAGGAGGGTAGTGGCTGGGGCTAGGGATAACACCTACGACTCATTGTAGACCGAGTTTCGAAATTGGGTCCAAATGTCAGCTTTCTAGAATTAAGCCTTCAAAGATAGTTTGGTCCGTTGAGCAAGCATCTCCCATTTGTTTAGCCCATCGTCGGATATACGTCACTTCCGTGGCGTAGAAACACCCCGGCGAAACATTACGAAAAAAGTGGAATGCGTTAAACAAACCCCTCTAAACATGCGTTAGCTTTGGACGCAGTGAAAATTTCAACACTGAATAATTTTTTATATTTAAATTAGACCTAATTACAAAAAGCAAAAAATCCATGCCCAGCAAGATCCCATCCATGGTCTTACCACTGGAAGCCGCCAACACTACCACTCGGTCAAGCCGCGTTTCGCAAATTTGGAGAGTGGATTCGAGATCAGCGTCCGAAAACACATCTCTGAGTATAGGTTTCATTACGGATGGCCACTTCGACTTGGTATCCTTCCCTTGTCAGTCTTTGCGTCAGCCAAGCATAGTGTGAGCTCGAACGAGGAAGACCTTTCTTGTGTATTTGAAAGGCACTTTGTTCGACGAAAGCTCATGTCTTTGACTCAGTCTGAATAGCGAAGAGTCACTAGCATGAATAGAGATCAGATCTAGCAATTTGACCCAAGCTAATCTACTCAACCTGGATCCCTGGATATACGCATAAGATCGTTTTGTCTGATGGGATAATCCAACTAGCATTTGACGTAAGGAAGTTAGACTCTTTACCTGACTGGTCGTAATTCGTTCGGCAACAACAAATATTTTATTATATACATTATAAAATGATCGAAGAAATCACGATTCTCACTGCGTTATCTAACACCTAAATTGGATATTGACAGCGCGACGGCAATGTCGCCGCGCACGCTCGCATGACCAGACTATTTGAACAAGAGCGTATCACTCGGCAAGAAAGAACAGGCTGATTAAGTATTTTTCACAGGGAACGAGATCGGACACGGGGGTTGGAGCCCAGATATTATGGACGATGAACGACAGATAAAAAGTATAAACGGCACAGAATAACGTGAGACAAATTTGAATGGATACGATTCAGGACTCACCGTTCGCTAATGACACACCGAATACAGAAATCAGAAATAATGGATGCATAAGGACTGACAGTGTGAAGGGGAAAATGAAAGAGGACGAGGGCATGAATAAGAAGAGGGGTGGGTGAGGATCGGAGAAAGCAAAGGACAGTCAGTAGTGACCAGCGAAATCTCGTGAACACCATGACCTCTTTCGAGCGGTAATTATGGAGGCGCGCCGAATGACTGTCTCCGAGCCTCATTATAACTCAACAACGGGAGAAAATGGAAGCCACCGGTGGCCGGCGAAGAAGATCCCGTAGGGAGAGAAGAACCGGATTTGTGCGCGCGACTCCCGAGTGACATCACCTCCCTCTACGAGGTAGCACACACCTTAGGGAAAGCGACGCAAATGAAAGACGTACAGACACCGCGTTGTAGGAGATGGTCTGTGAACGCGCTATGTGGCGCGCCGCAGACAACACGTGCAACAACCACTCAGTGCGGAATACCGAGTACAATAAATTAAGAACAACAAACGGGTCTCGTTGGACGGCCCCACTGAGCTTCCAGCGATTTGTGTGAAGTCTGCAGAGAACCGGGCAAGTATGTACAACACGAATGAATGGTTAGACCAACATCGATTCTGATTTCACTTCAACTTTGAAAGGAAGTGTGCTTTGGCTAGAGATTGGCAGGCCAGGCATGAGACCGGTGGGGAAGAAGCTGTCGAGGAACGAAGAATGTAGGGGAGTTGGCTGCGGCAACGGTGCCACGGATGGCGGATTCAGTGCTGAGACGTTCTGGCTGAGCAGCGAGAGCAGCACATCGTTATTCTGCAGCTGCTGGATGAGCAACTGAGTGTTCAGCAGTTGTTGCGACAGGAGATTAGGAAGTGGAAGCAGTTGTGGATTCAAGCCACTGTCTACCAGACCTGAAAACGGAAAGATACTTAGTTTTTTATACTAGTGAAGGAGAACAAATAATTTTACCTTTCAGTGCTGCCATTCCGTGATCCAGCACTGGTTCAACGGGCTTTGCATATGACGGAGGATAGAAAGCCGAAAATGCTTCTGGCATTGCGACTTCAGGATGAGTCGGCGGTTTGGAAGCCACCAATGGTCCAAAGTCTGGAGGAGTTGGCTGCAAAAGTGGCTTATTAGAGCAGCAAGCAGAGAACCTCGGCAAACAGCAGGTACACACCTCGAGGGTGCGGAAAGGCACTGAAGTTGGAGAGGTGCTGATCGTGGTTGTCGACTGAATTCCATAGGAAGATGTTGGAAGTTTGCTAAGGATGTCGGGAACACTCCAGTGACTGTAGCTGGGCATCGTAACAGCGGTAGCGGCGCTCACTGTAGGAGAATTGTCTGAAAACCATCTTTTTGCCAATTTTCGAAGTGAATCTAGGCTCAGGAAAGCCGGAACATTCTAGATCACCCATTTCAAATGACCGATTTCATTAATATCATATTTATAATATCATATTTGATATCAGCTGGATCGAAGCTTGATTCAACAAGGCTTGATCAATATGACCTGCGCCAATGTCATTTACCACTTTTAGCTCCCATCCGCTAAATAATATTTTGGCAAATCTTATTATTAAAGGCAGATGTTACGTGGAGGTCGAAGAATGGGAACTATACATACCCATTAAGAACAGAAGCATAACCTTCAAGGGAGCGGGACCAGGCGCGCTTCGCTGGCTTGTTGCTCTCATAGAGGCCCAACGAGGCCATTCGATGAATTCTTTTCTCGGCTGTCCACGCCCATCGACCAGCTAACCCCTCCCTATCTGATTCTAACCGTCTTAGCAGAGAGACAGAAGAGAGCATTCACGTTGACATCTGCACCGAAAAGACTCGCCCCAAGACCGAATTCAAGGAGGGAAAAAGAATCTTACGAAGTGACTTTTAGAACGATTCTCCAAGTTTTAATTTACAGTTGCACTTCTAATGGCTCTATTTTCCCTCTCAGAGGGCGACAGTCATAACTTCTGCCTTAACGCGAGGTCGGGGTTAGCGTCTTGGTTCATCCTTATTACTGTTTGGAAGGACGAAATTATCCTGAGCTAAAATATTTGGCTCGCTCTACGAGCGTAGTTAGGGTAATGATATTCAGTAAAAACCTAAAAACTTGCACGAAGCCAGGTGAATCTTAAATCAGTGAGCTTGGTATTCTGAGGTAAAGTCGTTAACCTGTTGGCACTCACTTGCATAGATGTTCGGCAGCGAGAAGTCGACCTTGCGAGCGCTGTCCGAGCTGTCCGAGTCGGTGTCCACGTTCACCGGGCTCTCCGACTGCCGCCCTGCTTGATAGGGCTCACACTGTTCCAAGTGGATCTTTAGACCGACTTTCTGAGCGTAACTCTTGCCACAAGCGGTGCATGAATATCTGCAATTGATCACTGATTATCCTTTCTTGTCCCTTCCACCTTTGCAACTCACGGTTTTTCGCCAGTGTGCACTCGTTGATGCACCTGCATGTTTCCTTGATTAGTGAAACACTTATCACAGAACTGGCATCTGTAAAATAATACGTAGCCAACAGTCTCAAAGTGACAGAGAAAACGGAGAATTCATAATTTTCCTCAATAAGGTTTTTTTGTTCTATATTACTTCTCGCGTCATATTTTTCTATCTAGACTGCGAAGGTAGGGTTGGGGACCCAAGATTGTCTGACGCGGCTGCTTAAACATCTTCTTCGTGTTTCTACTGAGAATTAAGATATCAGCTTGCTTCTCCCTTCTAGGGATTTCCATGAGAAAGGATAACTGAGGGTGTCTTGATCAACCGCGTAGGACAAATTTTATGTCGGATTTTCTCGCTTAACCCAGGTGCGCTGGCTCCTGACAGAAAACAGGTGTTGAATTCAACAATTGCTCGGCTATAAGATTTCCCCCGGCCTCACTTTTGAGCTGAACTTTTGACTTACGAAAGTAATATTAGCAAAGATCCCACTGAACATGGCGCCCATAGATGGGTCGTCTAGACCTGTTTAGACCATCGGACCAAAGACATGTACTACAGTAACAGTGAAAGTCGTTTGGTCAGATAAGCTCCATGGGCGAATCAGATGATTCTATTCGGGATATTCCTTTGCGGTTTTTAATGACATTTCCAGAGGAAGGTGGGTCTTCAAATGCAAATACAATTTTTTCGGCTGCAAAAAAGGAATGAAATCGTGGGAATGTTGGCTGCGATTAACAGGAAAGCGGGAACAAATCGGATTGGAAATCAAGTTATCGAAAGTTTGTCCAGACCAGCAAGGATTTGTATAGACAGAGGGGTGTAGCGCATGCCTAGATCTACCTAAACGGTCGTTCTCCAGTATGTAGTCTGGTGTGCACGTACAAGCTGCTAGCGTAGGCGTATCGCTTGCCGCAGAACTTGCACACGTAGTCGGCGGAGGCGGTCTTCTTGTCGGTCGGTGGCGCAGCGCCAGCTGGCGCTGGCTGTATCGAAGACGACGAGTTTTCGGTAGAGGAAGACAGCAGCGAGGCGTGCGTGGCCTCGTGAGCGATCAGCTGTGACTTCTGAAAAGATCTCAGTGAATTTCAGTTTAGTTATAAGGATCTAAAGAACATTCCGATATTGAATAGGTACTGATTACTGCTCTCGAAATACAATGTGGTCGATAAGCAGTCTACCTGTGACTAAAGAAGCACTAGACTGCCAAAATTCCCTGAGCGGAATTTACGCTAGAAGGGCAACCCATTTTAAATTACGTTAGGATGGTGAGTGATACAAGAAAGAAGGAAAACCATGAGAAACGGCCCAGAACCCGAGAAATGGGACCTTCCTTGCCCGTTGATTTCCGCATTGATGCGACTCTCATCGTGCCCTCTTCAACGCTAACGCTCTCTCTGCTATGTCGGTGGGCGTACCGCGCCAACTGCGCCAAGAGTGAGCCATGCTAGATCGCCGAGGTCAAATCTTTCGCTGCCAATTGCGCGTCGGTCCGCACCCTCAGGAGGTCCGCCTGTCTCCCAACTAGGCAATTTTCCCTTCTTTGACCTTCGTTCTTATCGTGAATTCCTCCTTAAATCGCATAGCGGCCGATAGCACTGGCGGAGCTTGCGCCTTGCCCTTCTGAGAGTCTCATTGATTGGTCACTCTTCAGGTGGGATTGAAGTATGTACAGTGAAGTACGAT